TTGAAACACCCTGTATAAATGATTCATAATTATAATAATAATTAATTAAAAGTTTTCAAAATGTATCTCTCTTTTAATAACAACTCATAAAGGAATATAAACTGTACTTTAGGTCTGGAAGATACTTTTTTTTTCTCGTCAGAAAATTTATTAAGCCCTGACACCGCCTCTTGTCCAGCATCATAACAAGATAGCAATCTATGGCTCCCTGTTTATACTACCTCCAGCTAGTTAAAGTTAATAAGTTCTCTTGTCAATTATGTAAAACAAATTGGGGTCTTAAAAAGCAGCTTATGTGTTAAAAATCATTTTGAGCTGTTGCGACGAGGTGAAACTCGGTTATTACGGCATAAAATTTTTTATTTTATTGTTATTGGTTCAGTGGCGGTACCAACTACCATTACATATAGATGGTTGATTTAAAGAATTGTAAATAAATTGCATCCTTCAGATTTTTTCATTTATTTGTAATATTAAAATAATAAAATAAATGAAAACAAATACACCTGTGGACCTTTTAAAGCATTTTATAATCAAATGTGTGATTCGTTTCTAATAAGTCATTTAGGAACTCCAATAACCGACAAAAATATAGGACCTTTGCTCAGGGAGTCTTACTGCAGTGATTTCGTACCTTGAAAAATAACTGAACGTCATGAACAACCTGAAGTGAACGGTTCCCTTTTAATAAAGGATGGTAATGATGGCGCAGCCAGATCGTCAATAGAAAACACGGATTCGTCGTCATCTGATGAAGAGACTTAAGTACTTCTGAGTGTGTTGGCGAAAAAAATAAAATATGTTACTACATCTGAACAGACCACATCAAATAAGCCCCTTCTTACTATTTGGAAATTTATATTGCAATATCTGAAGATCCTCAAACCCTGGAAATAAATTATCATCTCCTGTTATAAGTCGAACTCCAATGAAGTTACAACTAGAAGAAAAAAAAACAAAGAGAGGTTGAAGAAACAGAGAACAAAAAAAAAATTAAAATAAAAGAAACAACTGAAAATACAGAAGAAATCTACAGTTCAAGAAAATAGAGGACAAAAACATCGAAAAACATTGCCCAGTGCTGCTTATATTGCAGATCCTAGTTCTGTTGGTCCCAGTACTGCTGGTCTTAGCTCTGATCATCCCAGTGCTACTGATGGCACGAAGCATACAGCAGGTATGAGGGTTTTAGAGGTTTCTGTTTTGATTTTTGTGCATAGTAATCTTACCCCAATAGGTTCATCAACTTACCTAACGTATAGGGTAGGTTGATGAAAATTGCATTTTTACTTTTTTTGTTATTTGCATAAAATTTATTTATATTTTTATACTTTTGGTAAGATTAACGTTACACAAAGTCATGAACATGTTTGTACTGATATGTAATAAATTACTTTCCTTTCTATTTTCATTTTCCCTTACCCGGATCTCCCCTATTAGTATTAACAACTTCTGTATACCCTTATAGTGTTCCATGAATTTCCCTTTACAATATCTGGATTAGGACATCCACTAAATGTCACTATCATTCATTTAATACACCTGATTACTGGACACAACTAAATTTGCTAAATTGATTTTCGGCTTAGTGACCCTTTAATGGATTTGCGAGCGTTCATGGTTTATGGCGAATGTAACTGACGGTCTCACTATAAATGAGCTGCATGGTATTAATTCGTTATAATACTACAGATTTAGTCTCCGTATCAATATAATTAACAGTAATAGCCGATTATTCATTAACATAAAACTCTTCAAACATCAAATCAAACTGTTATTTTATCTATTTGTGCCTTCCGATACAATAGGATTTCATTTTCAGAATAAAAACCTAAAACAATGACTTCGATCAGATATTTCTAAATTAAAAACAAATAAATGTGATTGTTCTGGAAAGTTTCACCGGTTGTGAAGGAATTCAGTATAAAATTCGTACAATACTGATATCGGCAATTCAATACAACGTATCCTTTCGCCGTTGGCAAATATGATTTCGCATTTTCATGGATCGCTTCTCATGTTGGGCTGAACAAATCGTGACTGCATGAAATAGAAAATGCGGACTGGTCGGAAGGAGTCCTCGTAAGGCAGAATAATGGTTTGGAGTCGTAATAATCCGGTATTGTGCATAGAAATAATATATATTTCGTTTGAATCGGAATCACATGAAAAAGTTCAAAAGTGAAATGCCATTGCCCCCAGCTACGGAGGTAATTTGGAGAAAATTCCTACAAACATACCTTTATAACATTATAATTTTGTTGTATTAATAAAAAAGCTGCAGGATAATACGAAAAATGCATATAGATATTTTACATACATCTAACATACCAACTTCGTGTCAAAAATGATTACCTGATGATTTTTGTCAAGATTAAAATGATATTTTGTGGTTAAAATACCAACCCATAATATTGAAATTAGTATTGTAGGGCTATGAGTACCTATTTGAAAGAATTATGGTATTAAACAAATCCTTAACGAAATTAATAATTAAAAATTAGTCCTTAATTTGACCATCGTGGTTATAGAATGAACAATGTAGAACGTAGCAGCAACATTTCCTATTTTATTTTTGATTTATCTTATCGGCGACTGTACTAAATTGACCGATATTCGCTTTTATCCTGTTGACGAGCTAATGGAAGATCGTGTATGGGCAAGAAGTCCTTAGATTAGTGGCCCAGGTGTTTAACTCTAGAAAGAAGTAAGCACACAAACGTGCCTTATAAACACCATCGCCATGAATAAACAGATACAAGAGGACCAGTGTGTTTAATTTAGAAAACTAATCCTGCTTTAACGCGCCCATATGAATTCATAGGAGGCGCATATATCGTCAGTCTGGAACAAGAGGGTCATATTTCCAAAAATCTAAATTTTTAGGAGGGCTCATTAAAGATTTATAAAATAAAAATAGTGTGAATATTTGGGGAAAAATAACTGTATTACGTTTGTACGTATTAAACTTCAAAATTCGTTAGAATCAATAATTATTAATGTAAATCCTGACCAAATTCACTTCATTAAATGACGCTGTCACGCATCCCATTCTTAATCTAAATTGTTTAAAAGCAAAGTGAAGTCAAAAATGAATCATTAACACCTAGCAGGAGTGTCAAAAATCAGTCCATACCTGTTCTTCCGACTCATAATGCGACCACATTCCAAATTAAGAGTAAAACAAGTCGATTCTCACCTTCAGCGTCGAAAAACCAACATAATTAATGAAAGACGACAGGCATATTTATATTAAAATCATTACAAATTCTCTTTGGAGTAAAAAACCACTTTTTTTGTAGTGTTCGTTGTAGGTACTGGCAATCCGCGATCATTTTAATTAGTAGATTTCGCTGATACGACTAATTTGTTGTAAATATACAGGGTGGAGAGGATTTAATTTACGTATTCAGCAAAATATACATACAACTTTATTTGTTTAAAACTGTCTTATGTATGTAGTCAAAATACATATTTAATAAAAATAATAATTGAAATATAGTTATTTATAAGATTATTGATACTTCCATAGACCTGTTTTGGTCGAAGTATGTATTTTTATTGCACAATTACAACATGGAATATTGCAATAATATCCTCAGTGCATTCCCACTTTATATCCTTAAAATGAAGTCATTCAAATCCTAAGACAAATCAATAAGAACGTAATTTTGTTGAGACGCAAAACACTAAGATAAATCTAATGAAAATAATAAGTTAGTGTCCAAAATCCAGTACCATTAACACTCGAAATGATCATTATACTATTCAACTTATCAAACGTATTAACATAACATCCAATTTGGCTTGTTTAAAATGTTACTTTCATTGAATTTCCGGACATTATCAATGGTATTTAATCAAAAATCTTTAGTATTAATTTTTTTGTGTAGGAGTCCGAAATGTAGATGGTAGGTTTATTAAAAAGAAATTACAATGATATATTGTCTACTACTAGTAACTGGTCATTTAAATGACCATTAGTAGATATTCTCCCAATGTTAAGTTGTGTAATATGTAGGCTAATGAATAGAACATTGGTGTAATTCGTAAATTAAAAATATTAACTGTAATACGTTTCAATATTTAAATGATATATTTATAGAGTGGGCTTTACAGATATGGTATTAGAGGTAGTGCCTAACAACAAGGGTATAGCGCTATTATTTTTAAATTTATATAACTGGCAAATGTCCAAAACAATTTAAAAAAACAGTTGTTGTCCCTATACATAAAAAAAGGTCCAAAAAATCTAATTACAACTTTTACAAAAATGTTTTAAAAAATACTTAAATGTAGAATGTAAAAATTTATAAAAAATATAATATTTCAAAGTTGAGTACAGTTTTCAAGAAGGCTTATCTACAAGTGATGTTATTTCAGCTTTATTACAAAAAAATTATACAGCTGTAGATGAAACCAAACCATCTTTATGCGTATTTCTGGACATTGCAAAGGCTTTTGACACTGTGAGCCATCCACAACTATTGGAACCTTTGGACAATTCAGGAATACGTGGCATTACACTAGAACTCTTAATAAGTTATTTGTCCGAAAGTTGAAAATGAATTAAGTGCAAATCAAACAGTTAAATTTGGAATACCCCAAGGAACAGTGTTGGGTCCTTTACTATTTTCGATTTATCTAAATAATATTTTCACTATTGATACTCTAGGTATTATTATTAGTTTTGCGGACGACACGGCGGTATTTTATGAGGCTAATAGTTGGGAAGAATCTAAAACAAATAAAAAATTGGTTTAAACAGAAACAACTTACAATTAACTATGAGAAAACTAATAATTATAAAAATTGTGCTGACTTCAGTAATTTCAATATCATTATGTAGTTAGGTAGCCAATGTTTCATAATTAAATACTGTATGAAGAATTCCTTATTCATTAAATTTGTATAGTATGTCCTCTATATTATGTATTGACATTATTATTTAAAAAAAATAGAATATAAGTGAACCTAACAATATTTTCTGTTTGTTACAGCTTGCGATTGCCATCCAATAGGAGCATCAGGAAAGACGTGCAACCAGGCTACAGGACAATGTCCTTGTAAAGATGGAGTTGTCGGAATTACTTGCAATCGTTGTGCCAAAGGATATCAACAGAGTAGATCGCATATTGCACCTTGTATCAGTAAGCAAACTGTATTCTAATAAATATGATAAATATTAACGAATGAAGAAGCTTAAAAACCATATTTTAAAATGATCATTGCCATCTTATTAATTTTATTCTCCCAAGTTCTTGATTTGCCATGCAGCTATTTTTAGATTTGTTTTTGTTCTGGACTATATTATATTTTTATAAACGCTTTTAGAAATTCCGGTGGTACAAATGATGGCTACTGAAGAAGATAATGAAGGGTATGAAGACTATCCTGACACGAATAAACCAGGAGGTGAGTAAAAATGATTTATACTTTCATATTAATATATCGAGTGACCAAGGACGTCTGTAATATCTCAGAAACAGTCCTGAAAAATTAATAAGACTGACGGAAAGAGACTAATAACCATAATCAGTAATAAGAGAGGCTGTTTTTATAATTTTATTAAGAAACATTAAAATTATTTATTCTATATCAATTATAACAAAATTATAAGTAATAGTGGATATTAAAATACACATTTTTGGAATCTCTACTATTAAAATTTAAGTTTCCTACAGTTTTCTGAAAAAAAAAAACATGAAGATGAGCCAGAAAATTGTTGAACTCTCTTAATAAAATTAGTGATTGGACATACCCTTAGCAAATTAAGCTTTATTAAACAAAATCTGTACAAAAGAAGGAAACAGCATAAATAATTGAGTTTTCCTTTGTGTTGTTAGAATCTAAAGATTACTGTTGAGTAACATCTTATTATTTCATTTTTTAAACGAAGTAATGTAAGTTAAAATGAAATTAGCCTTTTATCAACATCTGCAATCAGATTGTATTCATAACTGAAATATTGTAATAGTTTTTTTTAGTTTATCTTAATTTTTAATAGTTTATTACCTTGCTACAATGAAAATAATAACCGTTTTTTAACGATTGTAGAAAGAAAATTATTACTGCCTAATTATTTCTCAATAATTTTCCATTTCAATCCCAATGTTATGACTAGAAGCCGCAAATAAATAAACAGTAAAAGAATAAATCGATTAACATTCTAATTGTAGGTATGCTGTCCAATTAAAAAAATCGATATGTCTAATAAATTGTTTTCCTGCTCTATTTGTATCTTCACTGCACATGTAATATCTGTTCATTGGTTTTCATCGACACACTTGTATCTCTATGGATTGTTTTAATAAAGCCACAAATACTTCAAAGTGATGATAATCGTTTTAACGTAAATCAAACAGCATCGATATTACACTTGACATCAAAGTTTTGCCACCCAAATTGTTTGTGTTCGTTTATTAAATCGTCTCATAAATGATTTATGCAAAAACACTTGCGTGTTTGTATACATTTTATGATGTTTATACATATGGAAATTATAGATTTACCTACATTGTGGTTAAATCTCAGTATAGTTCCGGTCAGAAATAATTTTACTTTTTTCAAAAATTCTGAGCTTTCTGCAAGCAGTAGGCGATGATCCAGGGTTAGAGGCGAAAGGAGTATCGCCCTTCCCCCCATGAGCGCGGCTCAAGCAATGAACTTTATCCGGATATTTTAATATAAAAATATCGCACCCTTATTAAAAACCTAGATTCACCACTGATACACAAATTTTTAGATGTTCATTCCCTCCTTCAATTCTTCTTCATATTCATAAGAAATTTCAACTCTAATGGAATTTGCATATTTAAAAAAAGTCTGTCACAATTATAATTTTAGTTATATTCCGTTTGAGACTACAAAAGCTATTTCTTTTAATATACAGGGTGCTACGTTAAGTTATCTTCTGTTAGCTCGGTAACCATGGAGAATTAGATATGTGTCTATGGGACATTTTTTTTATTCAAAAGAGCTCAGGAATATGTTAGTTAAGTTTGTACAGTACGTCATGCAATATAGATATATTAATATTATAATAATACTGAAATAATAATGTACAATTTGGAAAAAAGTAAAATTATCTCTGATCCGAACTATATGCTAGAAGTTGCATAAAAACATTTCCAATGCTATTTTGATAAATATTTGAAAAAAAAAACTTCTTAGATGCTTATTATTGTGTATTTAGCTTATAGCGTTCACGAATAGGTATATATAAATAAATATTAGAAACTAACAAACAAACGAACCATTAAAACGGTGTATAAATTAAGACGGCAAAGCTTGTGTGTAAGAACATACAGGGTCCGGTATTTTGTATTGATAATTTTTGACTAAAATAAAAAATGCAATCTTTTCAATAACAAATTTAATGCAATATGAATATTATCGATTCTTTGCCCTTGATTTATATTTCTAATCTAATTTTATCGACATTTGATTGAGGTCCTCTGATGTATTTGTTCTTTACAGCTTTTCTAATTCGAACAGATCTCGAAAATACATTCAAAAGGATTTTTTAAAATAAATGATTCGAGAGGCACCAAGCAGTTGATACGACTAAATTCAACTTCATATTTATTGGAGTAAACTGTCTTTTTATCGCTTCCTAGAAGTATCCAGCTATAAATCTAAAAAGTTCAGAAAAAAACCATTTGCAGTGATAGATGCATCACAACATAAATATGTCTGAAGAGGGATCCTCCCTTACTGATAAAAATAGGATACACAATTTGCAATCTTTTCAATCAGAGAAAAAATTTATAGATGTCTTTCCGTATGATCCTTTGAATTATTTGACTGTATCCGGTTATTCGGCGTGCATGTTTTAATAGGCGTATCTGGAGGATGGCAAAATGTAGTTCGAATATAATATAAAAAAACTGAAAATAAAATGATTTTAAGAAGGATAGATACTAGAATCATTCATCTTTATTCACTATTTATTTGTATTAATATTACTTGATTTATTTTGAAAGTATATCTATTTTGATGAGCAGAAACAAAAAAAAACAAGTGTTATTTGATAGAATTCCCAACAGATACTATTAAAATACATTATAAAGATAAAATAAATCCTCATAAAGCTGATTAGGCACAACTATAAATCTTGACTTTGCCACTACACATTGTGAATTGTCTTGTATATGTTATAATATTTTATTTACTCCCTCTTAAATGTATTGTATCGTAATGTATTGTGATTGCCCCTTCTTTTCTGGATACGTCTATGTACTGCACACGCATCTACGCATTTCCAGAACGTTCCCAATATGTTTTTCGGGAAAACGCATCCCGAAGCCCTTTAGCAAAGGCAAAAAGGGGGAATACCGGAGTTTAATTGACTGAACCGTTTCTCGATAGACTGGAAAAATAATCAAACATCCACTGTGTAGATTGCACAAGTAACTCCCGTGTACACCGGCTGAATATATGTCGGAGCTTAAATTGGAAAACTTAAATTACACTTCGGGTTTGCGGACCCCAACTTTCAACAATTTTCCTATGGAAAAGCGGGTGGGTAAATGTGCAAGAATTTGCTGGTATTTTGCATTGTTTCCTGATGGTTTTCTTTGATGTTCTTTAAGTGAAAATAAGGATTAGTAACGCCCTAAAGTTTATGTCATGAATATGTCAGAACTAGTAAGTTGCATTACAGACAATCCTACCTCTTTGCTTTCAAATTCTCATTTTCTAAGTACCTATTGGGATGAATAATTTTAGTTTTTAGTTTTTAGTTTTTGTATGATTTTTTCTTGATTCTAAAATTTGAATAGAGCGAATTACATAGGCACAAGGCAGGTATTTGTGTAAAACAGTTGAGAAATAGGTATTTATGATAATACAAGAAGTGTTAAAAGTTCAGTTTTATAGAAATAAAAGGACTTTTAACACGTGTGTTATTTACATATACTATTTTTTACAAATTTTCTTAAAATTGCATTGAAAATATAATTTCAGTTTAGAAAGAACAGTATTCCTATGATGACAATTTATTTTTAACCCACTTCTCATAAAAATACATTTTTTTAAACTTAAACCAATGGTCAAAAAATCTACTTACGTGAAAAATTTACTTATGTGAAAAATATTATTAATATTTCTGATTTTCACAAATATTTTTGTTATTGTATTAAATGCTTATCCTTGAGTTTTTAACAATATTAAAAGTTCTAATTCAATTAAATATTTTGTATTGTCGTTTCAGATCAGTGTGGAAAATGCAAAGCAGCCACTAGAAGATTAAACATGAACAAATACTGCAAGAGAGACTATGGTAAAGTACAAACATTATAATATAAAATATATGATTTTTTTTGTTTCGTTATGCTTTGTTTCCAAAATTTAATTTGAAATTTGTTTAGTTAAAAGAGTTAATCTGAAATATTTTACATATACTTTTTAAATGACCCCATATAAACAAGTCAAATGGTGAAAAATCTGGCGATCTTGGAGGTAATTCAAGAACCTCTTTTAACAATCCAGTGTTGAAAAAATACATCGTTCTCTGCAATATGTTTGTTATTTTCAAAAATATCCAACAGGCGATGATATATTGAGTCTCCAAGCAAATTAGTGGTAAAAGTTAGCAGGTAAAACTATTACCATTTACTCTGATAACCAAGTAGCGCAAATCTTCTCATCAGAAATCAAATCACGACTGGTGAAAGACTGTCTAGAACAATTAACAGAGCTAAGTAGTCAAAATAAAGTGACCTTAGCCTGGGTACCTGACCACGAAGAACGTTAGGTCAATGAAAAGGCCTGGAGGGCTCAAATAAGGCCGTAATAGGCTCCTAACCTTTCTGTGGAGTTGATAGGGCATTGTGCAACGTATCCATCAAACAATGAGTACGACAGACCAGAGTTCTTTAAGATCTACTAGTTCAAAAACGACAACCCTCTTTGCCCCTCTCTGATGGCGCCTATGACCTCTATACGCGATAAGATTATCCACAATTTATTCTTATTAATTAAAGCGACTGTCTTAAATCATAAATAAAATGGTTTACTATCTATTTTTTAAAAACATATCAAGATATAAACAAATTACAAAAATAAATCGAAGATTTGGAATCTATCTGGATTATTGGTCTTTCCAATCCATGCTAATTTCTCTTCAAATACAGAAAACGACTGTGTTAAATCCCGCAAACTTCCGGCATATGCTGATAACATGAAATTAATGGAACCTGTCTTGCAGGACTATCTGCGAGTCTGCACCCGTAAAAAGGTGACGCGATTTGGTCCTTATCCGCCGGATCGAGAGCAACGTCCCGAAATTTCGCGATTAAAATTGGCTTTGTATTCTGGAACTTCCTGGCAAATTTATGTTCTGCAATAAAAGGGGATAAGTTGGGTCTCTTTTTGGGTTGGATAAGTTTTCTCTTTATGTTTGATTTAAACAAACGTAAACGTAGGGAAGTGTCTACAGAAAGCTAGATGGTTGTCTAATAACTGCTTTATTAGAATAAATAAGTTAATATCTTTAGAACGAGGATAATTTCCTGTTTTAAGTAGAATTTTTTTTAAATTTCTTTGGTTATATTAGTCATCGTAACATATTAAGTTGTGCTTTTAAATAAAAACTTTTTAGTCACCGATATAACCAAAGAACTTTTATTTCATATTGTCGTTTAAAATGTAAAATTTGATTTGAATGCCCAATTTCTAAATAACCTTTGACAGAAGGTGAATCTTTCTTTATTTTTTAAAAATTAGGCGAGGGGTATATTATATGTTGAGTGACTCTACCATCAAAATTCACCACGAGCTGCCACTGATTGTGGAAATCGCAGCCTTAACTTTGAGAATTCTTTGTTCTCTAATCTATAACTAACTTTTTTTTTAATCCTTCTTTTAAAAAACACACTTATTCATTCCTCTACATTCCCCAGTGTCCGTGATTGTCGAAAATCCAATTCGGTTGTTTCTACACTTATCGGTTTTTAGCGGTTTCATGATTCTTCAGTTCGGTGTCTACGTAACCGTGGCACGTATGTGTTTTATTAGCAACACAAATTGGTTCGCTGCACTAGTCGGTTTTTAGCCGGCTTTGACAGCCTTACTGGGAATACTAAGTGCAATAATTTTACAAACTGGATTAGTTTTCGAGTCAACAGAGGATCGAAAAACTTGATTGTAGACGGGAGGGAATTCCATTTCGGTGTAATGGGAACTGGCAAGAATTAATCAGTTAGATAGATCGTAGTTGTCTAGGAGCTTGAACCGTAATTAGCCATTGGAAACCACGTGATGTTTTGACAGTTCAAATTAAATATCATTATCATTATAAGATACAATAAGCAATTAACGAATTTAACAGATTTACTTATTTCTGCACCGCCTAAATGCGAATCATTTTTGAAATATAACTCGGAAATCGTTTAAGCTGAGAAATTACGCTTTGCTGTTAGATAAGCTTTTTGAAAGCTTCCCTGTTGACATCGTACAGGAAGACAGTAATTTTATAAGGTAGAAAAGAGATAGTACCCGAAACCCGGAAGACACTAATGTATGATTTCATGGTTTCAAGCTGTTAGTAAATTTAGAACATTTAGGCTAAGATAAAATTGCTGATATTAAATAAATATCATTATTAATAGTTGAACATTACAAGAAAAACATCCAATACATTAAGACATTCTTTGGCTAGATTTAAGTTATGCCTACGTGGTCATAAATTAGGTATTGCATATAGAAGAAAAACAACTAAAAAGCATTCAAAATCTATTTATAATTCCATCGTGGGGGCATTCAAATTGACTCTCGTTTTTAGTAAATATATTTGTGTAAGAACAGTTATGACCATTTAAAATTTATAGTCCTTCTGTTCGAACTGAAATTGGAAAAAAGCATATAAATATTAAACTGGCATTTATTTCTTTATGGTAAATTATAAAACAGTCAAAAATAAATATACCGAAATGAGTAAATACTATGAGAAGAATGTAGTTTTGTTTTTTAATATTCCCCAATACTTTAGGAAGAATAGCACATTTGGCATATCTCTATTATTAAAATAGACATTTTGCTAAAATGAGCAAATAGTTTTTTTGAATTAAACATTGTTAAAGCAATTCTTTTTAGATAAGGGTTTAAATTTCACATGAAGCAACTTGAAAACATTTATCCATTCCATATAAATCCGTAAAAAAATTTCATATTCCTGCATTTTTCTATTACATTATCCTGAGGCGATGAACATGATGTTACTATTTTTTTAAAGAGCCACTCACTCCATTTACATTACTGAAAAATCCATTAAAAGCATTTATTATTTTTGATGAACCTCTCCCTCCGTCATTCCTTTTTTCACACTGGTTTCTACCACTTGTAAAAGTTTTTATTCATTAGTTGGCGCGTCGGTTCATCTCTCTGAGGAAAAATCCAAATGGAAAATAAGGAAAATACGCTTGTCATAGTGATAAACATAATTCGTCCCTTCGCAAACTTATTTCGCCCTTGGGAAAAATGATTTTCCTTCCACTTGTGCGGTTCTACTATCGAGTGTACGGTTTCCGTGCAGAATCTATTTCTTTTTCTATAGGTATACGCAGGATGAATGAAATTTCTATGCAGGAAACATCGAATTCAATTTTCGATTCGGGTTTTCTTCGTGCCATACGTAAAATAAAACAGGTACGTTTGTTGCTTTCAATTTGGTTTTTATTCAGTGGTATGCTGATTATTATAATCTTGTTCTTTTTTTTTTTTAAGAAGGTGATAGTCTAACCATACGGTGGATCTATAGCACATAAGAGGGTTGTTAATTTACAATGAATAAATTCAGTAAAGCTGTAGCTTAAAATCGTTAAGCAGCTCTTTTCGCAAACATCAAACGAAACCTCGGTCGTATTATTTACTTGTAGTTTCTCCAGTCAAACTTAAGTTTAAATCCCATTTAAGAACGTATTGTATAAACTGTAATGAATCGTTGCGCCGTTTGGCTTGTTTATTCATGAAATTTTCCCCTAATCTCCATTCTCTTAAGAGCAACTTCTAGAGTTATCTCTTTTTCCACACTGGTTTTAGAAAATCTGGCTAAAGATAATGATGTCGGAAAGGAAACACTTGTAAATATATTGGAGAGCCACAGAACAGTGTCGGAGACAGATCTGATGATGTGAAAGAAATTTAAAAAGTATGAATGAGTTTGTTCAAGTAGAATTTATAAATTAATAAATTGGACATACAAATTTAAGTAATTCTAAGTTCTAAAGCAATAGAAATAGATTATTGATTCATATTATTTTTAACGAGAAAGTTTTTAATGAGATCCTGTCTGGGAAAATTAGTAAATAAATTGCAGACATCAAAAGATACTAGCTTAGAATATTCTTGAGTTTAATTTTTGCTTATCTCCATTATTTGACAGCTAAATAGCAATCTAAATATATTATCCAGTTTCTTAAATTGAAAAATAACGCTAACCTGACGAGAATTTACGGTTATCTTTATTGGATTCCATTGGGTAACATCAACATTATCCTTATGGACTCTACGCTCCGATGATATAACGCACTCGAAAGTTTTTGCCATCAAAACTTTTCGAATTTAAACTCTTGTTTATGAAAACGAGAAGCTTTTGATGTAACATAACATCTGTTATGGAGAACAAAAAGACCAAATAATAGTTACTAACCGTTCCTTTATGGAAGTTTGAACAACTTTCGGTATTTTCATCTTCGCTTGTGTGATATAAATCGGGATAAATGCCAAATTCATGGATGCGCTTTATGGACCATCAGCATTTTGCCGAGTAACGTGAAGAAGAATATGAATTTGTGAAGGAAATTAAATTAAATATGTCTATACGATGTAGCAATGAGAAATTTTCAAATATAGGTATATAAACAGAAAATATCACAAGTTGTTTAAATGCCACTTGTGCGTGATTAAAAATTATTATATTAAATACAGTGCTTATTTTTTCGTGTTATGTATACGACTAGTATACAAGTTAATAAAATGACAACGGGGCCTAAAATTATAAGATATGGTGGTCGGATAGGTATTAGTCGAACCGAATGTGAGGCACAAAACTAGAAAGTAGAGAGAATAGCGATAGCTGGAAAATTATAGTTGTCACATATTCGCTATGAAAGCACGGCTATGCCTAATTCAAAATAATAAATACTGCATATATCTGGACAGCAAAACAATGGAACTAATAATAATTTAGAATTACATTAATTAAATTTGTAATAATATTGTTTTGTTTTGTAGCAAATATTGGAAAAAGTAATGATAGATCAAACAAAGTTGAATATTTAAGAAAATAAAATAATAATACCTTGTATTTCTTATTTACTAATATAGAAGTATAAAATAATCACATAAAATTTACATTTTTTCCACATAGCAACTGTAACAAGAAATAGATCACAAATTAATACCATTTAACTTAATTTATGTAGTTGTAACAAGAATATAACATTTAGTTTGCATAGATAATAATCATTTCAGTGGATTTTACGACATGTTTGCTATCTCGCGCGTTGTGTCAGTTATTCATGATTAACGAAATTACATATATCTTAATATAAAATTGCAGGAAACAAGTTGCAACTTATGCGTTTAGCAGCTTTTAGATAACTATTTATAAAATGAGTTAATATCATAGTTATAGATATATAAAGTGAATAAACCTTATAGAGGTACAAAAATGAAATAAAGTTAACGGAATTAGAATATTTTGTTGGTATGACATGGATAAATAAGATATTTTTTATTAAATTCAATAATAACAGAGTATTATTACAATTTATCGTGTAAAAATTGAATGTAGCGTAATACAAGCGATCAAGAAGTACATAAGGCAAAAAAAAGCAGAAACTTAATAACACTCACCCTCTTACGAGTGAGTTTTGACCCCAAAAGCTGACTGAGCTTATCCTGGGAAGGAGCTACCAGAGAAGTCGATTCTGCATTCGTTAGTTTATTATCTAATTTTGTAAAAGATAGCACAAAAAAAATAAAATTAAGAAGAAAAACACATAAAATCTGTCTCTGCTGCTAAAAAAGATAAAGAAGAAGAATGCACTTTTTCAACAAACATTAAAAAACCCAAATAACCTAGAAATTAAACAACAATATAGAACATATAAAAGCAAAGTAACTAATTCTATAAAAACTGTGAAAAATAACTATTATAAAAGCCTAATTAACAAAAATATTGAAAACAACTCCTGTAACCCCCAACAACTTTGGAAAGTAATAAAATATATAAATGCCAAAAAAAAATTGAAAGGGGAAACAATAAATACATTCAAAGAAATTTTAAATATTTTTAATAAAACCTATATAAATGTTGGAAAAGAACTGGCTGAAAATATTAAGCCAAATCCAACCTATCGAGCACCCCGTAATATTCTCTGAAATTCTTTCGTTCTATTTCCAACTTTCGAACGAGAAATTGAAACAATTATTAACGAGTAAAAATTTAATAAAAGTCCTGGTATCGATTATATTAAAGCCGAAATATTAAAAGATATATCTAAATTTATTGTAACACCACTAAATCATTTGATAAACCTAAATTTTTTATAATAATATTAATATTAAATATCATTCAAATAAACAACTATTTAACTTACCAGATCATCCATATAGCACAAGGAAAAAACATCTCCATACTGTGCCTCGTACTCAGAAATCAGTAGGACAACGATCGTATTTGTTAGGTCCAAAATTATATAATACCCTCCCAGTCGACATAAAATATAATACCTTGTCCAGATTTAAAAATAATTTTAAAAAATTTATCAAAAATGAGAAAATGTACGTAATAAATAATATTCTTTCAAATAACTGATATTTATTTGCGTTTTGTATCATCAACGTTTCGATATCTTTTTAATTAAATGTAAGTATTTTGATTGTGTTTGTCTCCTATATAAAATATTATCTAAAACATATAATGTATACCAAAACAGCGACCAGATAAAAAATAATAATACCTCCGGAGCAATATTTCATTGTAAATTTATTAAAATGTTTGATAAAATACTAAAAAACGTTTCTTCCATTAATAATGTCAACATAATAAAACAGTTTCCAGAAATCCAAACGTTTGTACAGCTTGTTTACGGCAGGTTTACGTTGTGTTATCAGTTTAGGTTAAGATGAAATATTATAGTAATATTACATGGAAAAGAAAATAAGAATTTGCATATAAAGTGCACATTCCTTCCCCTGTCTTGTACAAATGAGAAATGCTGGATGATTAACAACATCCTGTGAATGAATTTAGCATCATTATTTTTCAATATCTTCTTGCAGGTATATATGATTTAAAAATAAAATATTAGACACAAGAAATTTGCGTGGTATATTGAATCTTGCAAACAAATAATATTTTCAAAACAATTACTGTTTTTTTATATTCAATCAGCTTTTTTTCATTTATCAATATGTCTATCAAAACCAGCTAAATTTATTTATAAATGTAGATAAATTATTTCGTTTTTATCGATTTATCCAAAGCATTTGAATCAGTCCTTTTTAAACCACTGTTAAACCAGTTTATTAATGTATATTTGAATGTTAAAACAATGAGTATTAATATTATTGTTTATTTTTTAGCTATAATGGCCAAAGTACTATCCCGAATCGACAACAACGAAGCTGAGTATACAAAAGGATGGGTACGATTCATGATCAATGTCGAATTTATTTACAAAAAGTCCAAGGAATCGAGAATACGCAAAGGAACCATGCCCATGTTGGTACCAGCTGCTGATTTAGCTTGCAAGTGTCCAAAGATCAAATCAAATAAGTAAGAGAAACGTTAATTATGCTTTATATCAAATCTACCATCTACAAATTAGATCTCAAAATAATTTTCTAATCTCAAAAGGTTTTTAAATTAGTCTCTTTTTGCCATTATTGGGGGTAGCAACATTTTTAAACATCCATTACTTTAAGCTATAGCAACTATTACAAACATTATATTAAACGAATCAGGAGTTGAGTGTAACTAATGATTTTAAATATTGAATCGTAGAATAGCTCTATAATGCAACAATAGGGATTAATACGGAACTACTCAATAAAACGGTTAAATATTCTAAAATGATTTTCTTAAAAATTTGTTTTAAAGTTTTTTATTTTAATTTAAGGGAGAGACACAAAAAACTGGTGAACATTTGGAAAAAAGCTCAATATGTAAAAACAACTAGAAATAAAAAATTTAAACTAGAACTATTGAAAAGAGAATACAATTATAAACAGTACACAGCATTCTTAACATCGATTTAATATTAATTTGAGAAAGAGACCAGTGCTTTATCTGTTATATACTTGTCATATACCATAAACCAAACACGTGGTGATCGCTGCTTTTGCTGATGATGTAACATCTTAGTAGTGGGATATGACAGAGAATAAACTATAGATAAACTCCAACAGGCATGTAACAATGTAACTGAATGAAAAAAGACGTTGAGAATAAAAATAAATAAGAGCAAATCATTATTCGTTAGCTTTACATATAAAAAACAGAACAGTTACAAAAACTATAAATAATATAGACAAAATTCAAATCTTTCTAAACAAAGTGCTTCGAGTTATGTACTTCCAAATGCCCATAATTTTGTTTAGAATGCATTTGAAATGTTTTCACGGGTTAGCAACACTGGAAATAACCTAACTTATTTTTTAAAGATATGACAAATTTGACTGAAAAAGTCGTTTATGTCATTTTCTATTAATTCGGAAGCCAAAACTGTTTTTGAACTCTAAATGTGAGTAAACTAGATATTAAAAAAATCCACTGTGATACGGAATTTATCACTGACCCTGTATATTAGGGTTGCCACCTTTTTAAAAAGTGAATAAAGGACTACGATACTGACAGGGTCTCCGGTATACAAAAAGTCCTTATGCTTTTACTGAACTTCTAAAAAAAAAAAATTCGCCTAGCTTCTACAAAAAAAAAAATCTTCCTCGTCATCTATAAAAAATGTTCTCTATATTTTTGTATAAACCATGTCCCTTCCAAAGGTACCTGCTGTAAAAGAAGACATTTGCCGTAAAAAAAGGACATTTTAAGCTTTAAAAAGTCGCAAGGACATTCTGCTTCAAAAAAGGACTGTCCTTTTCAAAAAAGGGCAGTTATCAATATCCTTGCATTCGGCTTCTTTTCCCATTAAAATACACTCCAACTTTAAAATCTAAATAATCAAGAAATTTGTGAAACAGTTTAAGGAAGACTGCAGGCCAAAGGGAACTAATGATAATAATAAAGTCCGATGAATGTTAGATCATCGATAACATTATATCGTAGGTTCAACCGATACGGGTAATTGTAGGTTGAAAGTTCGAACCAAAGTATAGTTCGAGTTTGAAGTTAAAAATATTTATTGATGAGCTAGTTAGATTATAATGAGGATCGTTTGAAAACTAAATGAAAAATTGTATAGATGCCACGACATTACTACACAGAGACAAAATTTGTCTAAATATGACCAATTCTTAATTGAAGTAAAATATTCTTTATTGGAATCCTGGCATTCTTAAATTAACACTGCCATGTTCAATTTTTGAATCAAAATTTACGATTTTGTAGCATCCGTACTTAAAAATTGGCTTGGCTCAAAAACAAGTCTAAAAATGCTTAATTTCTCCATATTGATATTGATCTTTAAATTTCATATACACAGTTACTTATTTATAATATTTCCTTTGTAGATCGTACCTATTCTTAGGACGAGAACGTGACGATTCTCCCGGAGGAATAGTGACAGGCAGCCTTGGCGTGACCCAAAGATCCATAGTCATCGAATGGAAGGACGAATGGGATCAAAGAATGCGTAGATTCCGTCGCCGAGCTAGAAAATGCAAGTGAAGCAACCAAACGAATATATACGTTGCAAATTAGACGAGTATATTCGTCGATTATTCATTTGTTCGTATCAAAATAGCGGATCTTAGAGCCAGAGGGCGATTTGTACGACGGTACATTTTATCGTTATGTATATAAGGTGTTTCATAGTTAGAAAGAAATATTTTAATTTAATGGTAGATACAGATGGTTCTAAATAAGTGGGTCTTGCAATTTTTATTACTCAATTACTTCATTTTTTTGAACCATCCAGTATACGTTTTTGAATATTTGATATCTCTTCCGAACTTTGCTTCAATTACAGATAACAGCGTTCTTCATACATATTAATGAAACCAATTCGTAAATCGTGTTAATATTTATTGTTTGCCCTCGTACTCCTCTAGCTTTAAGATAAATATTTTGTTTAAAACTTCCTCAGTTTAATAATGAGGTTGTTTCTATTCCATACTTAACATGTCAGATGTATAATTTAGATGGACATAGAATTTTTTTAATGCTGGTAGGTTAACTGTGATTTATCGATATTTTTCAGTATTTAGAATGGTTTATGGTGTATATCAATGCAAGAAGTGAAAATAAAGTAAATGTCTTTTGTAAAATTAATACTAATTATCAGTTATAATACAATAATTACCAATAAAAACATTTATATCTTCTAAAATATGTAATATTGTTAGCAAAGCATTTAGGTTGTCATAGTTATTGTAAAAAATTTTTTTTTCAGATAGTTTACATTAATAATATCGAAACATCCAGTTTTTGTCTAGCCTAATGAGAAATTTCTGTCATTACTAAAAACTAATTGGTTTTATCTTGTATAATCATTCTTTGCTTTCTCTTTTTTTTTCCACTCCTGTACCAATTGTATAGTCTTTATTTTTATGGTTCCTGCTGATAAGTATTATATACTCTTGTAATCTTTACCAGATTATTATTAATATCCCCTATAATTGTGTTTAATACCTAGTATAACAAACTTTGATTATTTTTAATTTCTTTTCTTGAACATATACATTTTGCAGCCTTGTGAATAATTATTCATTATTATTTTTCTTTGATATACACTATGAATTAATGCAATCAAATGCATAAGACAAGCCATCTTTTAAATTAAGAAGTACTTACTTAATTGACAGAAGAGGTAATATTTTTGATTCCGAGTTGATATTAAATTTCAATTTGGATTTATGAAAGAGTTTCAAACAAATGTCTAAATAATCAGAAACAATATAGTTAGCTCATGTAAAAAATACAAGGTCTTAATTTTTTCAAAAACTAGTGAAAGATTAAAATATAGTTTGTGGTAATTTTTAAAAAATCAAGTCGCAATTGTTTTGTGAGTCAAATTGAATTTGTAGACATTTTTTGAGACTCTAGTAGATGGAAAGACACTTCAGCCTATTATTGTCATTTTTTCCCAGATCTGGTGAAAACGTAGGGTAGATCTGGCAACGTCGCATCGCATCACGCCTACGTAAGTACGGCCGATATTTAATCAGAAACTTAACAAAAAATATCGCTTCTCCAATATACCGAGCGATAGATTCCCTTAGAAAACAGGATTATTGTACTGAGAAAGTATTGTCTGGTGTAAAGATCGGCCGTACTTACATAGCCGTGATGCAGGGCGACGTTGTCATATCTAGTTTACATTTTTCACCAGATCTGAGGAAAAAATGGGGATAGTGACTAAAATGTCTTTATATCTACTCACTCTTTCTCTTTTAGCCAAAAAATATCTCTCGTGACTTAATTTTTACGTAATTTTTTATATATATAATAAAATGCACTGTACCAAATGCATTTTTATATTGTATGTTATATGACATTTTACCTAAGACAATTTGTAATTATTTTTATTTTGTACATAGTTTTGAGAATAATCCATTAGTCGTGATGATTGTTTATAAATTATTTATTGTGTGTATAATAAAAAATGGATGAATGAGAGATTGCGTGTCTTTTTGTATATTTTCGTTTTTCTTTTTTGTTAAAAGTTTCTTATTTATTTTTCTAATGGAATATGCAAATTGGACTATCTAGTCAGTGTTATGAATCGTTCATAAAATACATACAGATGTTCATCTTTTCTTACATAATCTTTTGTGTGTGTAAAATTTTCCTAACTACTATAAAAAAAAAAACTCTGGAGATAGATAGTGAAATCAGAGAACTATTTATCATAGATTTTTCTTTAAAAATTAGGTTTTTCTTGTCCTTTTCGACCTTGAAATTTAAAACCATAATTTGGTACAATTGGTAAATTTTTTATTTTGCTTATATTATTTGCTGAAATACAAAAAATCGTCATCAAAAATCGAAAAATTTAACATTAATTAATTTTTACTAACCATATTAACTTAAAGCTTAACACCACATAAACATTTTTAGGGATGTCATATTTTTAGATCTGATGATGGCCTAAGGCCGAAAATGGTTGTCATAATTTTTTAAATAAAAATTGCTTTATGTTGGTTTGATTTTGTGTTAATTCGGTACATTTGAACAGTTGGATGTCCTTTATCGGTTATTTTAATTTTTTTTACTATTGTTAGTTTACTAGATACCAATCGGAGCTTCCACTTCTTCCAATTAAATTTAGCATCTCACTGTAAAACGATTCTATATGGCAGTCGAAGTCAAAAATTGAAAGCATAATAAAAATTTTAGTATAATTCGATAGCATTTCCAAGAATAAATGTTAAAACTTAGTCTCTTAATATTTATGACACCAAGACCATTTCTTTCTTCTAAGAAACTTACAATTAATAATTTTTGTCAACGACTTTTTCTGAATACATTCACTCAATTTGCATATTTCCTCTAGTACGCATGCCGAATGAATCTAATAGCGCGATTTGTAAGTTTACTACAAGATTGTACAGTATTATCAAAATATATCATTAAGGAAGCCACTTGTATTCCATAATAATAATTATATCAATGAAATAACAGATGTAATGTCCAAATTCTATTTTCAAAACGGTTTGTTGGAAAAATAATTTATAGGTATCAATCGGACCCTTTTGAAATAGAAAATGGAGAGCGAGATTGGGATGTTATACAATTGCCAAAAAACGTTAATTGTTTTCCGAATAATACAATTTATTTACCTCTAAAACACTTGTTGTTGGAGTTGGTTGAATTTGAAGACAGTCATAATCTAATTTTCATTGTTTACAAATATTTTATAATGCAATCAGATGGTTACACAATATATAAAGAAATGATATATTGTCTTTAATTTTTGAAACTCTAATTAAAGAATATGAAATTATTTTCCATTTTTCCTAATTTTCCGAATATTTTTCTACTTTTCGGCCCCAACTAAATGTTTCTTTTTTTAAAGAAAACTAAAATTCCACCAGTTAACAATTTTTATATATAAGAACAATAAATTATATATAACCATATAATATTTATGCTGACAGTCAAGATACATTTACAATTCAAAATGAAAACCGATCCCAATCTCATTGTAACAACTAAATCTAGTTCCTAGAAATCATTTTAAGAATATGAATGTTTAAAATTAATATCAAAAATAACCCTAGATCTAGTTTCTGTGTCGTCAACATATCAACCTGTAATGTGCTTCGAATCTCAGCTATGTTGGATAAAAAATAAATCTTACAGTAAGGTAACGTTGTTTTATTTTTCAATAGAGACTAATGAGCAATAATTTTAGAGACTATATAATAAGAAATTATTCCATACAGGCAGTAAAACACAATTCTCACAACTGTGCTAGTAGTTCAAGAAATCGATATAGTTTCAGCTTAAAATCCATGAAGCCATTTATAATATTTCACCTGTATAATACTGAATATAACCTTCCTGACTGCTCTCGTAAAAAGAAGCTCAAAAGACGAATCCAAAACTTGGAAGCACATAATGAAGTCAAGAATATTAAATTAAGGAAATAGCAGCAAACCGTATGGAGACATTGCTTTGACTTATTAACATTACAAAACATAATTATTGTCCTCAAATTTCAGACAAAAACAATCACAACTATTTCGCTTAGGACCGATTCCACCGTTGTGTTAAACGAAGTTTAAAATGACATTTTTACATTAACAATGTCACTTTAATCTCCGTTTAATACAACGGTGGAATCTGCCCTTAGTTCATCTAAAGGCTAAATCATGAACTCAAAATTTAAAATTCAAATTCAACTAATTGATATTTATATTTACAAACTGTCCACTGCTGTCCACGTCTACAAACGACGTGTACCTTTAGTTAACATCTGAGACGCATAGATGACGCCACCGTGCAGTCGTTGCGTTTCCTATCTCTATGTCCGCTAATCTGTGGTTTAAACTTTAAACTTTTTAGTGGTCCTTCACTAGAACTGGTAGCGTCATCTTTGTGAAAAAGCTGCATTCATTAGTTTCTGCTTATTCTTAATAGATGCCGCAAGAGAAAATTGTTAGCCATGTTTAGTCCAAAGAAGATTTCTTATTTTTTTCTTTATTACCATTACAATATAAATACATAGAATATAATGATATTGCAATTATTATTCGTTGTAATGTGTTATAAGACACTAAGATACAGCTTTTATATTTGTAAAAACGATTTTTTAATTTTAAAAATAAATAGCAACTGTTTCCATCTACATTTTAAAAGCATTACTAAGGAAGATGGAACTACAGAAATTTTTAGATAATAACAGTTTAATATCAAATATAACCTAAAGATGGCCCTACCATGACAAGGTTTTTAAAAAAAGAAGTGAACGTCTTTAGATTTTCAGTCGCGTCTAAAAGAAAATAAAAAAAAAGTGTTAAAATGTTTTAATTTAAACAAGATCGACTTTTATATAGATCAAACAAATCAATAAATCTACAGGATGTTTCAGATTTGCAGTCATTAATTCCTAGAGTTGCAACAAACATTGAAGTTGTGGCAAGTTGTTGGCTCTTTAACTAATTTGATGGCAAAGAAATTTGTCGCTACATGGCCCTTTTGAATTTAACTTTAACTTTAACTTG